CTCAATGATGCTGCTTGCTCGTTTGTACAAGGTTCGTTAAGGGCTTGACGAGGGAACGGGACGGTGTGGGCAAGGCGAGACCCCGCGGCAGCAAGGCAGGCTCCTTCCCCTATGTGCTGCGAAGCCTAGAAACTTTTTGCAAGTTAAAAGTTTATTTACTGAGACGGGCAGTTTGGAGACAACACAGTCATTAAAACAGAGGCTGGGGTTTGGAAAGAGAACACAGTAAGATTTTTGCCGAGACTTTTGTTAGCTTTGTTCTCAAAGGAAATATTCTTCATTTTTCCTAGGAGATTTTTTAGCCCAAACTCCACTCAATTTAATATCTGACTGTTCAAAAAAAGTCATCCAAGCTCCAGTGATTTTTTTTTTTTCCCCCCCTTTCAGTTTTCATTTGCAAAAGAAAACCCAAACATTTCTGCTCTGGCTGCCCCACAGTATTGCTTTCTGCCCTGTTTTTCAGAGTCCCCCTGGAACAGGGAGAGCCCTCCAGTGCTCGGCTCTGCTGTCTGGCAGCCTGGACCGGCATCTGCGGCCGCTCTCAGCTCTCAAAGGGCCTTTGGGAGAGGCTGATGCACCCCGCGTCCCGCGCTGCCATGCTGGGGTCCGGCTTTCCCATTTAATTCATTAAACTGGTGCAAAACCTGTTTATAAGCAAGATGCAGCCCCAGCATCCGCAGCACGCTGGATCCTGTGCTTGGTAGGTGGCCTGTATAAAAATAACGCCCATATAAAAAGAACACCCATCTGGCCCTCAGGTGCCGGGTACCTTTCACACCACAGGCTTGCTGAGCTACCTGGGCCTCCCAGCTATATTTTAGCTGCTGCCGTGTCCTCCCCGCACTGGCTTGGTCCAGCATCACCTCGAACGGCAGCGCCTGATCCAACCACAACCTCACCCCCCCCGACGGGCATCGCCCCATCGGCACCAGCGCCAAAACCACTTTGCAGAGGGGCCGCACCCCTCGGAAACCCCTTTTCCGCGGGTGATCCAGCGCACATCGGTACAGCAAAGCCCTTTTTATTTGTCCTCTTTTTCTTTTCCCTTTCCTCCTTCTTCTCTCTTTTCATTGCAGCTTTAAACGAGGCCGCGAGTAAAGCATGGATCAATTTGGAATGGAAAGTTCCTGTAAATAATAGCTACACCTCGGGGTGTTTCCTCTCCCAGTAGCTGTGAAGAAAAGGCGGGTACGTCTAGGGTTTGACTTGAAACATATTTCCGCTGGCCAGGGCTGCGGAGCCGGGTTCTCACCCATATTAGCATTTATTGTGGTTTTGTTCAGGCTTTTCCTTCCCCCCCCCCCTTCTTTTTTTCCCTCTTTCCGTGCAAACGCCGCTATGGGTTACGCTTACAGAGATGCTGCAAAGGAGAGGCAGACTCCGGCACGTCCGCCCCGAGCCCTGCTCGATGGGAAAGGCGCTGGCATCGCCCCGGCACGCCGCTGCCGTTGCCTTTGCCGGGCTCATGAATAACGCTTGCGTTGAGTGGCTTGGCTCCTCGGGAGCCCCCAGCCTACGGTCCCTTGGCTTCAGACGCTATTGTAGGCTGGGATTTTTTTTTTTTTTTAATTTTTGCTTTTCAGCTGTCATTCGGGTTCTGGAGGCGAGTGGTGAGTGCTAAGGGGTTTGGGCTTGGACCGCCTGGGAATTTGGGTCCTGTTTAGGATTTGCGCCGGAGCTTTTGTGTCTCGGGAAGCGGCGCGGCGATGACAGGCGGCGGTCGGGGCGCGGGATGCTTGGCTGGGGATGCAGGGATCACCTGCCAGGTCCAGCTTGGCGCGGTGTGAGTGGTCCAGACCCACCCTGGAGAAGCCTACAGGGGTTTTCTGGGAGCTCACAGCCCGGGGTCGTCGTCCCCACCCATCGCCTCCCCGCACCCCTGTGAAGGCACCTGCCTGCCCTCCTCCCTGGACACCCTTGCAACGCCTGCTCG